GGACATTTGTTTGCTCCCCAAACACAAAGGAGATCAGGTGTTTCAAGGTAGTATGGCTGGAGACCAGCTCCATAAATACAAATAAAAATTTTGGCTTTTCCCCCAAATTCGATGATTTTATTTTATTTTTTTAATAAAATCATTTTATGGTAATGAACTAAAAAATAAAACCATCACACAGCTAGATTAAGTAAGTCATTCAAACACTTGCCCAATCTTAAATTCCATATATCTCAGTGAACTTCTACACAGAATAAGCATTCTAATCAATAGAGCTTCACTTAGGGTTTCATACTTTATCAGTTACATTTTTATATGTTTATCCACCACAAAAGAAAAAACATGACAGAATTGAAACTAGAAAAAAAATCAGCTTTCTATCCTCTGTCACAACTTACATGTGCTTGTGCCTGCCTCTTGCCTTTTCTCAACAGCACTGGCTCAGCTGGGGGGTAGAGAGAGGCTCTCACCACACTGTCTTCTTTTACTTTGAAGCATTTCATTTCTGACATATAGCATTATCTACCCTTTCTTGTGGTCCTTTCATTTTCTTTCCCTTGTCCAAAGCAAAGCCCAACTGCAGACAAGTGGATTTTCTGTGTGGAAATGATCAGCAGGCTGTTTTAATGATCTTTGCAGGTCCTTCTCTAGAAAACAAGTAATCAGGGCTCTTTTCAAAACATGTTTTTATTTCAAAAAGTAATTTTCAAAATAATAGATTGCATATCTTCAGATGTGTCTCATATTTATATACAATTATGGTTTTTGTCAAGTTTTTAATGTATTAATATATTTTAATTGTCATGGTATGTACATATTTATGAGGCTTAGAGTGGCATTTAAATACACGTGTACAAGGTATAAGGTAACTGGTATGTTTTTTAGACATCTGTCATTTACTTGTGTTGGGACATTCAAAATCCACTCTATTAACATTTTTTCTGGTGGTAGGGATCAAACCCAGGATTAATGTTGTACTGTTGAATGACATTCCCAGCCTTTGTCAACTATTTTGAAATTTTCAGTTAATCGACACCAACCATACTCAACTTACTGTGCTGTAGAAGCTCAGAACTTTTTCTTCTCATCACCTGTACCTTGTGCTCACTAACTATCCTCTCCACTTCCTCCACTACACTCTCCCAGGCTCTGGTCACTAACCATTGTCTCCCTCCTCTGCCACACCCACCCAGGCTCTGAAAGCCACTGTTCTCCTTATTTAAGATCAATTTTTAAATTTCCAATGTTTTCCTTTTAGATACAATAAAATGTTATTTGGTCAATGTCTGCTAAATAAGCTTAGTAAGCACCATATTTGGCCAACATTAAATATTATCATAAAGATTCATTATTATGTTGCTAGTTATTTTGAAGAATAGGATGCTATGCATTGGAATAAATAAATAAAGATTGAAAACTCTGCTCCTAGAACATATCATCTTCATATTTTGAATATTCATAAAATACTAAAATGTTTAATAAACATATATTTTTCTAAATTTGGTTCATAAACATGCAGAGATTGGTTGAGGTATAAATAAAGCCACATTTTACTGAATGCTCAAATTCACAACTGTGCTTTTATTTCTATACTGAAGGAATTAATTTTCTCCAAGTTGGTCTTCCACCAGCACAGAAGACAATTCAGCAAGTTCCCAGGTGTCCATGGCATTTCAACCCAGCCCTCTTGTCCTTGTATTATGACCTGGAATAGCCATTCACCACAGATGACACCTAAGCCCCAAGCCATGGGCCTTTTTGTTTAGTCCTTTTAGTTCTCCTGAGTAACTTTTACCCAGCCATCAGCTCAGGACCAGGTGGGTGACCACCATGGCCTCCTGTGATTTTCCTAAAACAAGGCTGGTGTGCACCAAAGGCCATGTGAATCATCCCAAGGGGGGAAAACTACATTTCTAAATGCCAGCTTTAAAATGTACCAGAGGAGAGAAAATTGCTCTGTGGGAACATAACCACATATGCTTCATTCTAAAGTTGTTGCCAATGTCGTGGAGTGTGTAATTACATGGTTAATCTTGATTTACAGCAAAAAATTTTCATGTTTTGTATCATTGAAACAATGTCCTCTGGCGTCTGTATTCTGAAGTTGTCAGAGTGAAGTCATAGAACACAAGGGCTGAAAGCAGCCTTAGAGATCATTTACTGAGTTTAATAATAGTAATAATAGAGGGAAAAGATATG